AAAAATGTCATCAAAGCATAATAAATACCATCACAACTTAAGCTGAAAGAGCAAACTAGATCACAATCATTGACGAAAGAAGATAGCCTTTTGGTAAAAATCATTATGAGAAATTGAAATGTTAATGTTTCCACAATTGATCCCCTAACATCCAGAAATTACCTTATTTAAGAACTGAAAAACACACTCCATTTGATTATGAACTAAAATCTTTCGGTAAAGAAACTTTGTACAAAAAATCTACAATTCGAGTCCAAGGCTGATGAATCTGGGATTGAATACGATATCAATGGTTGCTAAATGCTAAGCCAAGCTACAAATATGAACTTTCTAGATCGTTTCAGATAAAGTAACCATTTTAAAATTTGTTTTTCATTTCAATGAAGTAAATGGAGATAAATTTTCACTTCCTCATCAGGGCAATGTGAAAGAGATTGAAGTAACAAAAGGCTTGCAAGTAAAGGACACGATGATCAACATACATAGGTTGTAAATCCTCAATCAGAAACAAGAAGAAAATTCCCAATAAGCTAGCCCTTTCCACAAAGTAATGTCATGATCCCAGATCAGCCTAAAAGCACATATGATCCAGGGGCGTGACAAATAATTAATAACAATAAATGCATCTAAAGTATGATCTTCTATAAAAGGAACACTGGAAGAAAATCTACAATTGTTAAATTGCATGCAACAAAGACAACGCCAAAAGTTCAATAGATACTACCAATCTACATCACATGAAAAATGAACCACTTGAAAAACCACAAAGAAAAGGAAAAGTAAAAGAACATCATGAAAAAGACATGCACTAATTAAAGGGAAGGAAATCACTAGGATCTAGAAGCCCCGATTCTCTACCGACTACCGTTAAAAAAACAATCTACAAAGCAATTTTTTCCAAACAAAGAAGGAATACAAGGGGAAAAAGACTGAAAAAACAATCTTCAAATAAATACACATGAAAGCAAGAATTAAAAAAAAAAAAGGGGGGTTCTTATGAAGAAGGAAAAAAGTTGAGATAGGAGACCCCTAATGCAGGCTAAGTGAAATCGAAGAAGGGATCAGAAAGAGAGAGTGAAAAGGTTGGAAACTTACCACAAGAATTAGCACAATACATCTGATCTCTTTTTTATCTAGGGATTGCGCATATGAGAAATGGTAAAGGGGAAAGGAAGGATAGAGAAGAGGAAAGGGTCCTATGTAGAGAAGCCCTAAAGTTGATAGAATACCATCCTCGCCGTTCAACAGATTGTAGCAGGCATGAAACAAAAACCATGCAGATCGACGAAGCTCGTTTGTCTAAATTGGACACTAAATGACTAAAGCACCCTTGATATTAGAATCAATGACAAATATGACTTATTTTTGGGCCTGTCAGCGTGATGGGTATAAGTGGAATTTGGGCCTTCTCAGAGGCTGACATAGTACTCCAAAAGGAAAAGCAAACTTATAAGCGGCAACTAAGCTAATACGAACAACCAACAGAGGAGGCAAGATCACGTAAGTAAATAGTTTTCATGGAAGCACATAACCATTGCTACTATTTAATTTTAGAGCTTTTGTTTTGAACACTTTTAATTAGTAACTTCTATATTTAGTTGCTTCATGATAATCATGGTTAGTTGTTTATAAATATTGTCACAATCTAAGTTACATAGAAATAGATACGGGTACCAATATAGGTGCAGGTATGAGTACAGAACATAGCAGATTTGTAAAATGTAGGGTATGGGGACACGGCTACATCTATGTATCCACATTAATAATTTTACACGAGATCATTATTATTTTCAAATTGTGTATTATTAGAATCAAAATTCCCATCTCATTTTTAAGGTTCTTTTATTATGTTGACTTTTATAAATTGGAAGCTGCTCATATTTTAACTAGACGCTCAAATGACCCTTTTAAATCGTAGTTTTGAACTCGGGTACGGGCTGAAACAAGCCCAACCCACAATTTGACGAGCTTTAGAATGGATTTGAAGTGTAGGATATACATCCAAGAAGTGTGTTTGACAAGTATTTCAAATTAAAACATATTTCATATAATTGAGTACACATCTGAGTAAACATATGTCCATAAAGTTGGGGTACAGGAAATTGTCGGGTACGGCTTCATGATAGAACTACCCGGGTATCACAGGTCACAAATTTGAAATGGTTTCACTATTCTGGATAGGGCATTCAATATGTTTGATGCCTCACAAATATTGTGATTCCTCATGCATGGGAAAAAGCAAAGCTTCACGTAAACACATATGGCGTTGCATAAATGAAATTAAACTGAATGTTCTAAACTAAGACTGCATCATGGTTTGAGCTGACTGGAATTCAATCCGATTACACTGCATCTAGGCAGCTTTTATGCTAGAGTAGAAACTCAAACTATAAGACTCATGTTAAAAATAGACAATTCAAGTGACCCGAGAATGGGTTCACCGAACTAACTGGAACCTGAAGAGACGTGAAACCACTACATAAAAGATGCAATAATATTAATTTTTTAAAAAATTCTCATGAGCTCGTATTTTAGAGGATATTGTTTTCTAGAGTGTGAAATTCTCTATATTGAAATCTCCTCGTTATTCGTGATTACTCATTACAATGACAAAATATTTAATTTTATGTTCTTCTCTCTTTTCCCCTCTTCCTGTGTCTCACCAATCCTTCCATTTCTTTTTAGTTTTCCTAGCCTATTCTATCACGAGTTTTCAACGAACATAGTGGATAAACAAACTAATGAAACACAAGGGTGCGCAACAATAAAAAAGGGTATGGCTAAATTGAAATAGAAATCTTTAGGAAGACAACAACATTAGCCTTCAGGTAGTAAAGCCTGTTAAGCAAATCCAACCACTGATATATAAAGATCTATCAAGCAAGATAATGCATGCTGCTTACTTAATGACATAGGAAGAATGCAATACAAGGCGTTGTATGTGTATATAAGTTGGTTTGGGTCCGTGATGCAAATGGATCTTTAATGCAGATTACTTGTGCATATCAGTACTCATGTAAAATTACTACAAAACTTCCTTTATGTCTCATTTAAACTGTTTAAAACCTCCGTCATATCTGAAAACGAAAATTGGGGTGAGTATTCTCTAATGTTTTCCCATAACAATAGTTTATCAAAAAAATTCCTTTTTTTTCTTTGATACAAGGGAACCTTGATCAGAGGTGTCCATGTCAAGAGAGGAGACCCAAGTTCGAGCCATAGCGCACTCTGGAGGCACCAAGAGGTGTTACCACCTCAAACCCAATCGATGAGACCTTCACCTGAATATCAATTTTTTTTCCTTCATAAATGGTAACAATGCTTTGGATGTTTGTCTCAAAAACTGCAGTGAACTGTAGTGTCCAATTTACTGAAGGTGCCTAAACTCCAATTTTGTGCCTAAATCAAACTGTGCCCACGCAAATAAAACATGGCTCCTCCATATGTGCTGAGAAAACGCCACAAGTGATAAAAAGATTTTCTTTTTGTGATATTTTCTGGGACTGGGAATAATTATTAGCCCAAAAAATTCCCCACAATGATTGCGAAACTGTTTTCCTACTACTATAGCAACACAAAGTCCTCAAGCAGATTGCAGAAAAACACATAAATTTGCATAATTACTGTTTTTGACATCCAAAAAAGCTCCAATACAATTGCCCACGATGGGTAAACATCGCCAACTTCATAAGGTTGGTCAAAATTCAACCTATATTGATATCAATTGTTGACATGCAAGGGGGGTAAAAAACTCAAAATTATCACACATTCGTGGAGTAGTGACAATGCATCATCTAATTGAAAAAAAAAGCATAAAGTTCTGATTTTGGAATCAGGAATCCACAAACAATTCAACAGAAACCCTAATTCTCGACGGTCAATGAGAAAATTGAAAAAAAAAAAAAAAAACGAATAGAAACTAAAAGGGAAGGTGAAGAGGGAAAATGGAGAGAGACCTGAGATGATGACGACGAAGATAACGAATTTGTTGGCGAAGTTCCAATTTTGGGAGGAAGTAACTAAAATAAATAAATAAATGAGGATTAAAGGGGAGTGCCAAAATAAGGAACCCAATGATGAGGGGGATTAAATTATTCGGATTGTTTTTGATGGGGGAAAGAGAAAGATTCAAAGAAGGGGAGTCCGGAAAATACAATGGAGTATTTGTTTTCTAGGATCTAGGGGGTGTTTGGTAATTTAAAAGAGAATTTAAAATATATAAGTTATTTATTTTTGCAAATGACTTTTATATTCATGTTAGCACGTATATGAAATACAACGTTTGTTTGAAAATTTAAATTATTATCGAAAGTGCAATGTGAATATGATATGATAAAATAAGATTAATTAGAAAGTATAATTAAAATCATTTAATTAAATTAGTTATTTTTTTGTCATTATCACGTGACTTCACCACTTTTTTGCATCTCACTTTCATAACCACTTACATGCAAACAAACACCTAAATTGTTAAATAAAAATAACTTTCTCACTTTCATCTTTCATTTGCATGCAAACAAACACAGGTCGGATGGGGAGAATCTATTTCTGTTCCAAATTTCTATTTTAATTTCCCCCCTTTACTTTTTGATAATAATAATAATAATAACTTGTGGCAGATTAAATATATGCGATTTTTAAAAAAAGCAATTGTAAAAAAACAATTATTTGTAGATCATCCGACATATATTACTGCAAATGATGAGCAAAATTTTCTGCTCGTTGATAAATTTTGCACAACTAGATTTGGAATAGACCCAAACAAAGTCTCGATTCATTTTGTTTGGACATGGATCTACCTGATTTAATAAAGAAGTACATATATATGGGATAGATAAAAGGACGATGCAAATCAATTGAACGCAATGAAAAAAAAAAAAGAAAAAAGAAATTGAAGCAAAACTCTAAACTTTTTAGTTTGATCATTTATGATCTAGACTTTTCCAAACCGGACTAATCCTTACAGATGCTAAATCAAAATTCAACCCTCGGAATTCGGTCGATTAGGACAATATAACTGGTTCAAACGTATTAATCGATCCCATCGCGCACCAGCTTGCGTGCCACTAATAGGGAGGTGGGACCCACATCTGGCTGTGGATCCCACCACCCGCCAGATGGGCTGCACGTCCATCTTGCGTGGCAGATGGCATTTTCCTTCACAATAACATCCTGTCACCGCCTCAGAGTCTGTTTCTAATAAACTAGTGTGAACACCGTGCAAAGCACGACATACGGTATATCACTTTTTTCCTCACTACAGTAATCCCAGTTTAAATATTATAGTATTTTTTGATTTTTTTGAATTGCTACAGTATCCCAGCTCTGGTATAGTTTTCAAAAAATGCTACAGTATCCCGTGTGCTGCAGTATCCCGCCTCTGTTCCATTTTTTGAAGTGCTACAGTTTTATGTTTGATGCAGTAAAAATCCTACAACAAATGTTACTGTAGTATTTACTATAGTATGAATAGTGAATATTGGATTCTTTCATCTATATAGAACAGTAGATACATCGTTGTCCCCGTGAATCCCAACAATCCAAGCCCCTTTGTAAGAGTTTCAGTTATTTATCGTAAAATTTTAAAATAGGCCTATAGCTTGTCTAGCCCAGTCCAAATTTGAATAATGGGCTTGTTTATTTGGGCCTTCACAGTGTGACTTAAGTATACCTAATAAAAAACGTATGAAAATACCTCTAAATTTATGTTACCTAACAAAACTAAATATTTTCACATTTCTGTAAGAACTCTCCAAATCTCAACACCAAAAATTTTCCGAATTCCCACGCTCCCCAAAATATACTCCCCCAGATTCCCCCAAACCCTAGAATTCGACTGAATATGGGGATGAAAAAGGGCAGGATCCTCTCGATTCCAGTTCTCGCGGTGATCTCTCTAGTTGGCTACGTCTACTACACGACTGTGTTCGTGCTCTTGGATCAATGGCTGGGTCTCAATTCCTCGCCCGGATTCCTCAACGCTGTCATCTTCAGCTTCTTCGCTTTCATGGGTTTGGTTTCTTTCTTCGTTTCGGTGCTCACGGATCCAGGTGGGGTCCCCTCGTCTTTTGCTCCGGATTCTGAAGATCCCCAAAAACATGTAAGCTTCAGCTCTTTTGAATTCATGAAATTTTCTCGTTTTCTGTGTTCTTATATGTGATTCCTGGTCAAATTTTGGACCTTGAAGTTTCTTCATGGAGGAATTGGGAGTTTGCTCACTTGAGAATCATTTTCACAATGCACTACTTATGAGGGTAGATGTTTGTTGGATTTAAATATAATTAAATCTATTAGTGGGCACATATATTATATCAGTGTGTTGCTATCTTTACAGTTGACCCGTATAAAGTGATCAATCAGATAATTGGATCAATGAGTATTTAAATATGCTATGGGCTAATTATGCAGATATCAGATTGTAATTTTAATTTAATGATGAGCTAAATTAGAAAACTACAAGTCTATATAAAGGGGTTATGGTTTCTAATATTAGAGTTGAGTTCTCATTCTCTTATCCACATCTAAAGACAAATCTTAAGGAGAGAATCCTCAATATTAGAAGGTCCAAAACCCTAATTCAGATCCGTGTAATGGATTCAGGTATTGCTTCTGCGCTCTTGTTGTTTTAATCTTTTTGGATTAATCACGGTTATTAGATCCATATTAGATCGATCTTAAATACCAACAAGTGGTATTAGAGCCACCGTGATTATTTCTTAGGGGTTTAAGATTTAAAATTAAGTTTTTTGATCTTAATCTGTGGATTTTTCTGAACTGTTCACGGATGAACAGTAAAAGCTAATTTTCTATTTGGTTTTTTCTTTCGATTTTTGGATATGTTGCACTCATGAACTGTAAAGTTCATTTTTTTGGAGTTTGATTCCTTTCGGATGTTTGGATTTGAAATGGATTCAGATTCAGATCAAAAGTGTGCAACATGTCAAGTTTCGGATCTGGATTTAGTTCAAAATCGAAAAATGTTTTTTTGGTTTGCCGTCGTTCTCCAAAACTCCCGCCGGCGATGTTCGCTGGCGGCCCCATTGTCAAATGATGACAATAGCGGCGGCAATCAGGAATTCTAGGATTTTTTGAAACCCTAGGTGCGGGAGCACAAGCAGCGGCGGCAACGGTTCAGGTTTTCGAAACCCTAAGGGGTGAAGAAAAAAAATTAGGGCTTGAGGACTTACCTGACCTCAGGCGAACTTCGGGTTTGATCGAGGATCGAACTTCAGGCGAACTTCGGTTCGATTCCAGCGAACTTCGGTTTGCTTCAGACGAACCTCGTGCTCGATTAAGCTTTGTTAAAGGCTTCTGACGAACTTCGGTTCGATTCCAGCGAACTTTGGTTTGCTTTTGACGAACCTCATGTTCGAATCAGGCGAACCTCGGGTTCGAAATCAGGCGAACCTCATGTTCGATTCAGTCGAACCTCGTGTTCGAAATCAGTCGAACCTCGTGTTCGAATCATGCGAACATCGTGTTCAAATAAGGCGAACCTCGTGTTCGAATCAGGCGAACCTCGGGTTCAAAATCGAGCCTCAGGCCTCGGGTTCAAAATCGAGCCTCAGGCGAACTTGAGCTTCGTCTACTCATTTGGGAGTTTCAGGTGAACTTTTTGAAGCTCGACTTCAGGCAAGGTCGACACTCGACTTCGGTGAGCTTTGAGATTTTTTTTTCTTTCGAAGCAGGCGAGATCGAAGCTTGTTAACAAGCGGAGATTCAGTTTCCTTCGAAGGCGAGGCTGAGTTTTTCTTTGTTTCGTCGGCTAAGGAACTGAAGACCTGGTTTTGATTTAGGGCACAGAACAAGCCCTTCTAAGATATTATTTTGCTATGGGCCTATATAAGTTTTATGGGCCCTTTTTTAATCAAAGATCTGGATTAATTGAATTATTCAAATTAATTCATTAAGTTGAAGGGCTTAATTTAAGTATGGGCCTATGATTAATTTAGGGATTATTTGAATTAATCAAATAATCAATTAAGTTGTAGGCCATTAATTTTTTAATGGGCATTTTCTAAGTTTAATTAAAATAGAGAAATCTATTTTAATTGCTTAAGTTAATTTAAATTAAATTGTTTAATTTGAATTAAATTTGGTAGTTAATTAATTATTTGATTCAAATAATATGACACTAAGGTATTGATGTTGTCTCTCATTCTAAATGATTAATTAAAACATGATGTTATCAAAGTAACCTCTCTTGTGTAGATTGTTCATGAGAAATGTTAGATGGTTGTGTATATGTTTTCGTGTAAATATTTAATCGGCCCAAAGAAAGGTTAATATTTATTTAGACTGCATATACATCTGTGATGATAAACGCGTGATAATTATAAGGTTTACGTGTGAATAATGAGTCGATCCAAAGATAGTTTCATTATTTGATATGAGTTATTATCAGTGTTTGACCATTGTAACAAGGTATCACTTACAAATTAATATTACTGTCCAAAAATTTGATATTAATGTTGTGTCAGATATCTTGAGATGAGATTAGTCATTATTTGAATTTTATTGATTACTAATTACGATTCATAATGTGAGCATCTTTTGTTTATTTCAGTTAATGCATCTGCTGTAACATTTCTGCTAATATCAACTCAATTCTCATGCTCAATGAGACAAATATCAAAGTTTGGAAAGAGAATATATTAATTGTTTTTGGCTGCATGGATCTAGACATTGCATTAAGAACTGAACAACCCCAACCTCTTAATGCAGATAACACTCCTGATGTCAAGAAGGAGTATGAGAAATAAGAGCGTTCAAATCGCATGAGTCTAATGATCATTAAGCGTGGCGTTCTGGAAGTCTTCAGGGGCAAAGAATTCGAAGGGATTACTAAAGAAAAAGATTTTTTTGTCGAAATTGAGAAGCGTTTTGTGAAAAACGATAATGTAGAAATAAACACGCTTTTAGCTTGTTTGATTTCAATGAAGTATAATGGAAAAGGAAATATCAGGTAGTACATTATAAAAATGTCTCATATTGCTTCAAAACTTAAGGCACTTAAACTCGATCTTTATAATGAGTTATTGGTGCATCTGGTTCTGTTGTCTTTTTCTACATAATTCAATCAGTTTAATGTCAGTTATAATTGTCAAAAGAAGAAATGGATTCTAAATGAGCTTATCTCATACTGTGTATAAGAAGAAGACATATTAAAGCAAGATAAGACAGAAAGTGCTTATTTGGCTTATGTCTCTAAGGATAAGGGCAAGAAAAGAAAGAATAATAATGAAGCTGTTAAGGGTCCTGTTCAGAAGAAATAACATAAGGATAATCAAGATTGTTTCTTCTGCAACAAGTCTGGACACGAAAAGAAGGGTTATACCAAATATCATGCGTGGCGTGCTAAGAAGAGTATGTTTCTTACTTTGGTCTGTTCTGAGGTTAGCTTTAGTACCTAAAAACACTTGGTGGTTAGACTCTGGTGCTACTACTCATATAAGTGTTTTTATGTAGAGCTGTCTGAGCTACCGAAAGCCAAGTGATGTTGAAAGACACATCTTTGTAGGCGACGAATAATCGGTAGACGTGAAAGCAATTGGGCACTTTAGGTTGCTATTAGGAACTGGTTCATATTTGGACTTAAAAGATACTTTTGTAGTTTAGGTTGCTATTAGGAACTGGTTCATATTTGGACTTAAAAGATACTTTTGTAGTACCGTCTTTTAGACGGAATTTGATTTCTAGGAACTGGTTCATATTTGGACTTAAAAGATACTTTTGTAGTACCGTCTTTTAGACGGAATTTGATTTCTGTTTTTGTATTGGACAAATCAGGTTATTCTTGTTTATTTGAAAACAATCAATTTAGTTTATCTTTTAATTCAAATATTATGAGAACTGGTTACTTGAGTACTGATGACAACCTATATTTGCTTGATATAATTACTTCTTATAATGAATCCATGCATGTGGAATCACGTGATACTAAGCGTAAATTAAATAAAAAAATTCAACGACATTATGGCTTAAGCGTTTGGGTCATATCTCAAAAGATAGAGTTGAGCGTCTTGTGTCTGATAATATTTTGGATTCCCTTGATTTTTTAGATTTTGACATATGTGTTGAATGTATCAAGGGAAAACAGACTAAAGTTAAGAGATTATGTACCAAAAGATCTTCAGATGTCTTACAATTGATACATACAGATATTTATGGGCTATTTCCTACGGCATCTTGAAATAGTCAATAATATTTTATATCATTCATAGACGATTACTCACGTTATGAGTATCTATTTCTCATTCATGAAAAATCTGAGTCTCTGGACATGTTCAAAGCCTATAAAGCTGAAGTTGAGAATCAACTCAACAAAAGAATTAAAAATCGTTAATCTGATCGTGGTGGTGAGTATTACGACAGATATGATGGTTCAGGTGAACAACGTTCAGGATTATTTGCTAAATACCTAGAGGAATACGGCATCGTCCTATAGTACATCATGCTAGGATCACCCAGCATGAATGGTGTAGCTGAAAGATGAAATAAGACTCTTAAGGATATGGTAAGAAGTATGATTGCTCATTCTTCTTTACCAGTCACTCTGGGGTGAAGCATTAAAGACAACAGCTTACATTCTGAACAGAGTATCGAGTAAAATAGTTGCTAAAATACCTTATGAGCTTTGGACTAGTCGAAAGTCCAGTTTGAAGCACGTACATATTTGGGGATGTCCAGCTGAGGTAAGGCCTTATAGACCAAATAAAAAGAAATTGGACTCCAAAATAATTAACAGCTACTTTATTAAGTATTCTGAACGTTCTAGGGGTTATAAGTTTTATGATCCCACACTCAGGAATATTTTTAAGACGAAAACAACAACATTCCTTGAGGATGTTGAGTTTGGGGGAGAAATAATGTTAGAAATATACTTTTGAGGAGGAATTGACTTCAGACCCAATCCATACAGTTATTTTTGACAATATTCAGGTTTCTATACCTGTTATTGATCAAGAAGTAAATTCGAAACCTCAAGACGACAATGTTAAACAACTCCCTGTTCTAGAAGAACAAACTTAACAACATCAAGAAACAATGTTATTACGGAGATCCATGAGAGAAAAGAGAAATGCTATTCTGGATGATTATATTGTATTTCCCCAAGAACATGAGAAAAATAATAAAATGTTGAAAGATGATCCAATCAATTTTCTTCAGGTCATGAAAAGTTCTAACTCTCAAAAGTGGATTGATGCCATGAATGAAGAGTATAAGTCTATGCAAGATAATAAAGTTTGAGAACTTATCCTATTACCAGAAGGTACAAAACCAATTGGTTATAAATGGATATTTAAAACCAAGCGAGATGCAAATGGTAATGTGAAAAGGTATAAGGCACGTCTTGTAGGTAAAAGATTTACTCAAAAGGAATGCATTGATTATACATAGACTCTCTTCGGTTTCGTCGAAAGACTATTTTAGAACAATCATGGCGTTTGTTGCACATTTTGATATTGAGTTACATCAGATAGATGTTAAGACTGTATTTCTCAATGGCGATATTGATGAGATGATTTATATGGTACAATCAGAAAATTTTATGTCAGGAGACTAGAAGAATATGGTTTGCAAATTAAAAAAATTCATCTATGGACTCAAGCAAGCTCCTCATCAATGGTATTACAAGTTTCAACAAATAATTATCTCGTTTGGTTTTGAGATGAATATTGTTGATAACTGTGTATATCACAAGATCAGTGGGAGTAAGTATATTTTTCTGGTTCTGTATGTCGATGACATATTGCTTGCCACAAATAATATAAGCATGTTGCATGAAACCAAGAGATTTCTATCAAAATTTTTTTGAGATGAAAGATCTTAGGGACGCTTCTTTTATATTAGGAATCCAGATACATCGAGATTGTTCTCGAGGTATACTTGGATTATCACAAAAAAACTATATCGATAAAGTACTCAAAAAGTTTAGCATGCAATATTGCAGACCAGGTGACACCCCTGTTGCTAAAGGAGACAAATTCAGTCTCAATCGATGCCCTAAAGGTAATCTTGAAATTTAAAAAATGCAGAAGATTCCCTATGCTTCAGCTGTTAAAAGTCTAATGTATGTTCAGATATGTACGCGTTCGGATATTGCGTATATTGTTGGTATGTTAGGCAGATACTTAAACAACCTTGGTATGGATCATTGGATAGCAGTCAAAAGGGTTATGATGTATCTTCAGAAAATAAAAGATTATATGCTCACATACAAAAAATCAGAAACAACTGGAGGTCATTGGGTACTCTGATTCTGATTTTGCTGGATGTCAAGATAGCAGAAAGTCTACATCAGGTTATATTTATATGTTAGCAGGAGGAGCTATATCATGGAAAAGTGTCAAACAAACACTCGTAGCTTCCTTCACTATGACAGCAGAATTTGTAGCTTGCTATGAGGCATTCAATCATGGAATATGGTTGTGAAATTTTGTTACTGGACTGCGTATTCTGGAAAAAGTTGAAAGACCACTAAAGTTATTTTGTGATAATAAATCTGCAGTGATGTATTCCAATAACAACAAGAGCTTAACTAAGTCAAAACATATTGACATTAAGTTCCTGGTTGTGAAAGAAATGTTACAGAGTGAATAGATATCCATAGAGCACATTGGGACAAACTTCATGATAGCTGATCCTCTTACAAAAGGATTGCAACCTAAGGTCTTTCATGAGCATACTGCTCATATGAGTGTGGTATTATTTGAAGATATCATGATTTAGTGGGAGAATGTAATTTTGGTGTTTTATGTTTGGTTATATTGTCTGATCAGAATAATGTATTCAGTTAAGACACTATGTTACATTATGTTTGGTTTTGACCTCATTAAAGTTTAAGGTAGGGCCAGTTGAAAATAGACATGTACTGATCATATTGCATGTAATTTTCATGCTGCACATCCATGATTGATCTTTGAAAATAGACATGTACTGATCATATTGCATGTAATTTTCATGCTGCACATCCATGATTGATCTATGTCATTTGATTGTATTGTGCATGTAATTTTCATGCTGCACATCCATGATTGATCTATGTCATTTGATTGTATTAGTATATGTGACCGTTAATGGGTCGAGTCACGATAAATGTGACGAAGACTGCTTTGATCCTATATTGATATAGTCAATGGACAAGATTGTTTGGAAATACCATTATCTATGATAGTAATTTTTTGAGCTCATAAGGTTATACGCACTTTAAGGAAAGATATGGTGCCCAAATGGGAGATTGTTGGATTTAAATCTAATTAAATCTATTTGTGGGCACATATGTTATATCTGTGTGTGTTGCTATCTTTACAGTTGACCCGTATAAAGTGATCAATCAGGTAATTGGATCAATGTTGTATTTAAATATATCACAGGCTAATTGTGCAGATACCAGATTACAATTCTAATTTAATTATGAGCTAAATTAGAAAACTGTAAGTCTATATAATAGGGTTATGATCCCTAATCTTAGGGTTGAGTTTTCATTCTCTTATCCCCATCTAAAGACAAATCTTAAGGAGAGAACTCTCAAGATTAGAAGATCCAAAACCCTAATTCAGATCCGTGTAATGGATTCATGTATTGCTTCCGTGCTCTTGTTGTTTTAATCTCTTTGGATTAATCACGGTTATTAGATCCATGTTAGATCGATCTTAAATACCAACAGTTATTGAATATTTTTTTACCGAATTAATAACTAATTTATCTAGTTATCACTGTGTTAGTCACCGAAAAAAGAAGGGGAAAAAGGAGAACAAAGAAAAAGAAAACGAAAACGAGAAGTCATCGCGATTATCACCGTACTTTGTTTTAGCATCTTCCCTTTTGTCTTGAGGAATGAAGAAGGGAGATAACCTTTGGCAATGACTGTTCTATTTTTTGGGTAAATTACACTAAACACCAAGAACTTTCACCATTTTGCAGTAAACCCCCTAAAAACTTCTAGAATTGCACCAAACCCCCAATATTTATTGGAATTGAAGATTACCCCCTATAAGCTTTCGCATTTTGTAGAAAACCCCCATGACGCCATTAAACCAAATTTAGGATCTAAAATCCGTCATGGGTGTTTTTTGCAAACCGAAAAACCTTATTGGGGGTTTTCTTCAATTCCAATAGTTCTTGGGGGTTTAGGGTGATTTTAGAAGTTTATGAGGGTTTACTCAAAACACTGGAAGTTCTTGGGGGGTTTAGTGTAATTTACCCTTTTTCATATAGTGAGGTATCGTGTTGAGAACTGGAGTGTGAATATATAGCATAATGAGACCTCAAAATTTTTAGTAAATTACTAATGTGAAAATTTTATACAATTTTAGCAAGGTGTGAAATCAAGATATTGTGATAAGTGCAACACTTATAAGCCTCCTCGAACGCACCACTGCCGGGTTTGCAAAAGATGTGTGCTAAAAATGGTAGGTATGTTTTTCCTACATACATAATATGCATTTTTTATGCACACAATGTACTGTGTTGTACATCTAACAATAGGTGGAGTTTCCATTCTTTGTTTACTGCAGGACCATCATTGTGTTTGGATAAACAATTGTGTGGGTTATATGAACTATAAGCCCTTCATAATTTTCATTCTGCACGTAGCCATCGGATCCATCTATTCTCTGGTTTGTACAGTTTTTTCCTGAATAAGAAATTTAGATTGTGACCATATGTTAACACTTGCGTTTATAGTTATCACTTAACTGTCACAAATGCTGAGTTGTTTCCATGTTCTTTCTTCAGGTGATATTTACGAGTTTTATCATTCAGAAAGATCAAGACCTCAGCATACGATATCCTAAACTCTTTTATGTAAGTAAATCATAAGATCCGGTAACTAGGTTATATTGTTTTAGGGGAAAAATCTGTGTTACGTTTGCAAATGCACCCTTTACTCACATAGGATGGTGTGCATTATTTGATAATTAAGATAGTAGTGGATTGGGTCCACTTTGTGTGCTTAGCGCTATAAAGAGATGCAGTAAAGATTTTGGAACCTAGGCTAAATATATTTTGCATGTTGAGTAGGAGCTGTGAGCAACACAAATTACTTTTCCACCCTCAAAGCCTGGGCATTTTCTTTTTAATGAGTACCTCTCTGCAGAACGCTAAAATTGCTTTGATTAACCTATCTTATTTCAAGTTTGTTGCTCTACCCCTCTCATAAGTAACGGACTCCGGTTACAGCTAAACCAAATTAATTTCAGGTCATATGCGGTTTAATCATTGTTATTGTAAGCTTGAGCACAACCACTCTATTGGGTTGGCACATCTACCTCCTAACTCATAATATGTCAACCATAGAGGTAATCTCTTTCTTCCAAAATAAGATTCTGTATCGAAAACTGTACAATATCCCTACTGCTTATATCATGTGTATGCTGGCTCGATATAACAGTACCGGGAGGCAGTAAGAGCAATGTGGCTGGCTAGAAAATGTGGCCAGAAGTACCGCCATCCTTATGACCTTGGTGTATATAATAATCTTCTTTTGGTATGGCCCCTGTCTTATTAGTTTTATAGTTGCATCTTGGTTCGACTTGATTGTGTTAATTTGTTCATGGTGAGCTGAAGCCATTTAAATATCATGTGTTTTGCAGATTCTAGGTCCGAACATTTTGAAGTGGTTTTATCCCTTGGCACTGGACCATCTCAGTGATGGCACACAGTTTCAAATAGCCAAATGACCGATTTTATTCTTCTTCCTTCTGCACACTTTGGTGGTGTTTTAAGGTTGCATTCCTTTTACCAGATGCTAGTCAAGTATCAGAAAGAGGAGATTTATTCATTGAAAGAGGATTCACTACGCAACTAGCTCTGGCGGTTACGGCAGTAGTGTTTCTATTCCTGATTCACACATTCTTTGATTGAAGCTAAAGATGAAAAGGAAAAGCACATGTTTTCGCAATTTTATTGTTCGGCAGTCTACCTGGTAATGTGATTGTTCTTGGCCTTGGTTTGTGGTGGTGGTGTATCATAAGACTGTAAGCAATAGTGTCCTCCATTGCACCCACATATGTATATTGACAGCGAGGCGTATGTGTTGAGAAACTACTCATGATGCAATTTCAAGACTAATAATGGTTAATGTTTCCTAATATTTCACTCTTTCTTATTGGCCCCTAATGATATAAGTATCTTGTTGGCGCCGTTGATGCAGTTTCTTGAACGTCTTTGTGCTGATATCTTGAATCCTTATCACCTGTATTTTGAGGCCTAGTTTTAATTTGTAACCAAAAAAGCTGGCGTGCAAATTTCTTTCATTATTTGAATCCACTAAAAACCCAGTAGTTTTCAAAAGCCTTTGCAGTGTTTTCAGTTTCAAATTTGCTCTCTATCTGCGGAATAACAATTTTTAGGATTAGTTGCAGATAAACTACGACACTTATATCTCATATTTGGCAGATAGACCTTCGGATTTTTTTTTTTGACTACTTTATGCTGGGCGAATTTTGACAAATATTGCTGTGGAGTGAACTGGTGAGGGGCAGCCAGTTTAATATTGTTGGAGCTTAATTTATGAATAAGTTATATGATTGTTGAAAATAGCAATCTATATCACAAATTGTTTCTAGAAGTAGTTAAAGTATTTGATAGAACTTGCTCAAGTTCACTATAAATGAAAATGACCAACATAGACATAGGTTTGTTTAGTTATCAAACTAGACAAGATAATTTTGGAACAAATACTTTAATACTGTCAAAAAGTAAATGGTAAATTCGGTGTAAAAAATTACGAAAAGAAGCTACTTTTAAAAGCATCTTTATATTGCTTCTGAAAACAACCCTTTAAATAAGAAACAATTCAAAAAAAAAAAGCCCAAGAAAAGCAAAAAAATCGCGAGTCTATCTAAGAGTAAAGGAGTTTAAAAAAGAAGAAAATTTTAAAATAGCCCCAAATCAATTTTTTTTGAAAATAAATCCTCTTTCGTTTTTATTACAGAAACAAACTCACTTTCTGGTCAAGTCAGCACCGTGGTCAGAAAATGGGTCCACCCACTTTCTGGCCACGGTGCTGACGTGGCCAGATTCGCTAAAAAGTGAGTCTGTTTCTGTAATAAAAACGTAAGAGAGTCGATTTTTAGAAAAAAATTGGTTTGGGGCTATTTTGAAAATTTCTTCGTTTAAAAAATTCAACCGGGGGTCAATGTTCAAATAACCCTTATTTATCACCAGTTAAGTCTGTACCTTTTACTTTTAGTGATCAACTTAGTTTTTTTTTTATTTAGTCAAATGGAGATCAAAATATACATTCTCATCTTTTGATTTATTCGTTCATCTCAATCTAAGGAATCATTTTCTCTTAAATCCAAAAATGTTTAAGTTCTAAAAAATTTGGTTTTTGAATATATTTGGGGACTTATTAGCCACAAATTTAATCTCGAACTGCTTAACTATAATATATACCTCTCGCAAATCTCCCAGCTATTTGAATTCTTCTGCTCGACCCGGGACCATGTCAGTGTCCCCATCGGACTCGCTCCTCTCCTCCTCCGATCTCCCTTCCCTCCTCTTTCCTCGATCCCCTCATCATCGTCATCGATGCCTTCGCTTTCAATCAAACCCAATCCCAGTTCCATCTCCAACCTCGTCGATCTCGATCGAGATCTCCCCATTTCGCCGCCGCCGCCGCCAAAAAGCTACCTCTTTGACCACCGCTTCGATCATCAACGACGAAAACGATTCTCCTACGTCGATCGATCTTGAGCCCATCACCAGCGAAGCGCAGTTCGATCGAACCATCGCCGAGGCTCAGCAGCTCGGGGAATCTATCGCCGTTCTATGGTTCAAATCTTCACCCTTTTTCCTCTATCTAGGTCAAAATCTGTTCTTTTTTTTTGTTCAAACTTATTTTGATGTTTAGGATGGCGAATTGGTGTAGGAAGTGCTTATATTTGAAGCCCAAATTGGAAAAACTGGCTGCTGATTACTATCCGAGGTACCCTTGCGAATTTAATTATTGCTTACAATGGTATTGGTTGGCTTTAGAAATGACTGTGGAATAAATTGCAATTTGGTTTGATACAATTTTGTAAATATGTGTGATGCTTATTGGGATCAACTTCAGTCGAAAAGATGTCATTGGATGTACAAATCTTTGTAGCTTCAATTAGCAGCACCAACTGATTTGCTCCTTATCACCCTCGGCTGAAGTTCTTTCCAAGTTTCGTTTTTTTTATTTTAAATTCCTCCTTTTTCTTTGAAAGATTCTGATGTTGTGTATGTGATGCTGCAGAATCCGGTTCTATTGTGTCGATGTCAACGCTGTGCCACAAAAGCTCGTTACTCGTGCAGGAATAACTGTAAGATTCACACCCTCACCAATTCACTCGCTCTTATATTTTTTTCATACTTATGTTGATTTTATGTTTTTACGTGATTTTATTAGTTTCGGTATTTTATTTTTGACTTGTTACTCGAGTGATTTAGCTGGGGTTTCTTTTTTTTTTGTTTATGAAAAGATGGCAGATTGGAAATACTTGCCTGGTAATCGTTTGTTTACACAATTTTTGTCTAGAAAAGTAGGATTAAGTAGCAATAGGTTTGGCTTCCGAGAATGATAATGTAAAAACAAGGAAACATGCCTGTAGGCTGTAGAGAGCACAAGCATTCTTGCAAACCTTGGATGCTTAAGAAACAATTACTTAATGTGCTTGGTACTTAATGAATATTAGTTAATTTGATGGTTTATAAGTAATAACCATTTAAATTAGATGAATCTATAGTCAAATGCACAAATCATACATTCGTGAAAACCACTAGGCTTCCTTGAAACCACTAGTTGATTTAGTAATTGCCCACAAAAAAATAAAATGGAATAAAATTTAAAAAGTAAAAAAATAAAAAATGATGCTCATGGCTCCATTCTTCAAGGGAGGGAAAAAAAGAAAGAATGAAAGAAAGAAAGAAAGAAAGAAAGAAAGAGGATTTCAGCAAAGGTAAGCCTGTATCATATTGTGGATATACTTCATTAGCATGAACAGAATATTCGGTGCTAAACTCAAATCTCTTATAGAAAGCTTCTTATCAGTATAAATAAAGTTTGGTCCTTCGCATGTATTACACTTTCTGTTTTTTGTTCATTCACATAGGTGTCTTTATCTTCATTGACTTTCACCTTTGTTCCACATAGCATACTCCATCTCTTGATGAAGAGATGATGGATGCTATTTATGTGTAGAATGGCTCACGATGATGGTTACATGTTTGGCCATTGGTGTCCATTCTGACTGGAAATGGATCTTCATGATGATTAATGTTGTTGGTTTGTGAAATGGTTGATGATGGTGATGCTACATGCATGTCAGTGGGTTGTTTCGCGGACACACACACATTTGTTCTCCTATTTCATGTAGTGCAGAGGTGAAATAACTTGATGGTGATTTTGACGATGACCGTGCATTGATTCTTGTTTCAAGAGTATGAAACATTGGAATTTGGAAATTTTATGCTATTTGATTGCAATCACCTGTGTTGTACTGTATAAATACCAACCTCATAATCTTGTAATCTTGAAATTTGTACTCGTTTATCAGCTCAATACCTCATACTCTTTAGCTTACTATATGGTAGCAGGATATATACCTCCTTAACTTCCGGACAACACTAATAGTCATTTTTGTCAAAACTATTTGAAAATAAACACCATTGTAATACAAGAAAGTTATTATTATTTTTCAAGTATTGTTTTATTTGAATCCTAAAGATCATACAGTTGAAAGTCTTGAGACTGATCTTGTGTGCTTCTGTTGATCTTAACATGAAACGCTCGGAACATGAGCAGAAGATGCCAACCATACAGGTGTGATTATATTATTTATTTCCGTTATTTTGCCCTCGACTGACCCAACTCTGCATCACTATCTAACGGTATAATCCTACATGCTGCAGCTTTGGAGGGACTCTCAGAAACAAAATGAAGTGATTGGAGGACATAAAGCATGGCTGGTAGTTAACGATGTTCGAAGGATGATTGATAATGAGGATTAGTTAATGCCTACGGTTCCTTATATTCTATAATGGTGCTTTTTGAGTTATTCCTGAAAGAGTATAAATTACTGTTTTACTGATGTAAATAACTGAAAAACAAGTGCAGTTATATGCCACCAAAAAAAAAAAGAGGAGGCTCATAAGGCTGTAATTTGTGAAAATTTTGCTAAAGGATTTACTATGTAACCACATCATGCAGTGGATTTACATAAATTTGATCGAATAAGCACTTCTTTTCTTTCTTTCTCAAATTGAACCCTTTCATCGCTTTGGAATGTGCCTTAAAAGCTACCTTCGGTTTGTATGTGATTTTTTTCTCCCCTCCATGTTGGTGGGTGTTGTCCTGTAAAATAATCTGTTATTTTATGTGATCATGATTTCAGACTGATTCTGGTCGATCAAAGTAATTTTTATCAGCCTAGTTGTGTACGATCTTACAGAAAAATTCCTACCCTCGTTGATGAAGTTACTATTTGTAACGGAGATCGCGCACGTTGCCACCTTGTAAATTTTCGCCCAACCTGCACTATTAAATTCATTCGCCTCTGCTTACTGCCTAAACTATTATTAAAAAAAAAAAAAATCTAATTACCACTTTTCAGTTATTACTTTATAGGTGTCTTTAAGGGTTTTGTGATAGTTCAAGAGGATGAGGTGGGATCAAAAATAGTTCAGGAGGTAAGGACAAAGTTAATAGCTTTTAATAGCTTAAAGTGAAAGGATCAGATAGAAAATAATTCACTAAATAAGAAGGAATACATTTAAAAGTTCATGGGGGGCAAAGGGAAGACCCGAGCCTCTATAATTTTTTCTGTGTTCGCAGGGGACATAGGGGGCCCACCCACATGGGTTTTCTCGTGGCGTTTTCGTGCGCGTGGGGATGATCACGCGGGAGATGATTTCGTGGGCGAGTTCGGCACCGTACGCACTTGGGTTTCGTGCGCGTTTTCCCAGCCCACGTCTCGTCGCCGCCTGAGCTCGTGTTCGAGCGCGGGAATTGTTCCCGCCGATTTCTCCCGCGCGCGTGTTTTCCTCTCCCGCGCGCTCGTTCAGCCCGCCAAAAATATTCAGCCTTGCCCCCTTGCTCTTCTATAAATAGAGAAGGGATGGAGGAGTTATAGTGCGGGGGTAAAAATCTCAAGAGGAGTTTTTTGAGAGAAAAGAAAGAGAGGAAGAAAGAACTTGTAAAGTTTGGTATTTTTTCTCATAGTGAAAACCCCCCTCCCGTGGATGTAGGCTAGTTAGCCGAACCATGTAAATCTCGTGTTTGTATGTGTATTATCTGTGAGTTGCCATAGCTTGTAGGTTCCCTCGATATTTCAGTCCTAGAACTGATGAGAGGAAGAGTATATATTTCACTTTGATGAAATATATCACTTTCGATTCTTGTTTCCTTTGAGAAATAAGAATTTCACTATCTATTCTAGTTTCCTTTGAGAAACAAGAATATAGAGGTTGACTTGTGCTTTTGTGATTCCTTTGAGAAACAAGAATATAGAGGTTGACTTGTGCGTTTATGACAACAATAGCCGGGGCTCTTCCGCGGCGGTGTGCGTGACTCTACGCCCAACAATTGATATCAGAGCCCTTATTCAGATTGGCGGCGGTTAAGCTACTAATCTGAGGTGGTGGTTGACTATTGTGTGGTGAACACAAAGAAATTGTTAAAAATTCCTAAGAGAAGCGGACTGACATAATACAAGCGGAAAATGGCTTCTACAAGTAAAACAAGTAAAGTTAGAAAATACGAGATTAAAAAATTTAATGGGAAAAATAATTTTTTCTATTGGAGGATGCAGATGAAAAATTCGTTGATTTCGCAAAAATTGCACAAGGCTTTGGCCGGAAAAGAGAAGAACAAAAATATGTCTGATGAGGATTGGGAGGAGCTGGATCTGGAAGCACGGGCGTCGATTATCCTTTGCCTTGAAAGGGATGTAGCTTTCTTGGTAGATGGAGAGGAAACGGCTGCGG